CCCCCTCCGCCCGCCGCGCCACGCGTCTGCCGCGGCCCCGCAGGCCGCCCAGGACGTTCTGGCGGAGAAGTGGGCGCAGGAGGAGGCAGACGCTTCGCAGCCGGGCGCCCGCCCAGGCGCCCCGGCTCGGATGCGGCAGCTGCGCGGCAGCGACCTGCTGGCGGCGCTGCAGCTGGTGAAGCCCAGCACCGCGCGCGCGGGCGCCTACGCGGCGGGCCTGTCCGACGGCGGCAGCGGCGGTGGCGGCGGCGACGATGCGCCGCTGCAGTGGCTGATGGCGGCCGCGGGCGCGATGAGCGCGGCGGCGGCCGCCGACGGCGGCGCAGCGGGCCGGAGGGGCGGCGCGGGCGGCGACGGTGGCGGCGGGGAGGGCCCGTCGGGCGCTGCGGGGGGCGGCGGCACCACGCCCAGCGACGAGCAGCTCAAGGCGCTCGGGCTGCTGCTGCTCAAAAGCATTCGCGGCTCCGCCGGCGCCGGCGCCGCCTCTTGACGAGCTGGCAGAGGGCGCAGCGGGCGGGTGCTCTAGTGTCGTCGAATCATTCGCGGGCCCGTTGCGGTGACCCACTGACTGTTGGTCCGACGGTGTGAATAAGTTGGTCGTCATGTCGTCATAGCCGGTCAAACGGCCTGTTGGAGTCCTTGGGGCAGTTTGTGTATATGTGTGATGTGTCAGCGCCAGCCGCTGTGATGTTGAAACGCGAGCTCTTGGGTTCAACAGCTTTGGTGTCTGTGTGGGTGGGCGTTCTAGATGTGGGGGTGCTTGTGCGGCAGGAGTGAAAGGGTGAGAGCGGTGCGTCGGCGGGGCGCAGGTTTGGCCATTCTGTGCTGGCACTATGCCACGCTCCTCCCCTGTGCAGCAAAACTGCACCATCAACCAATTAGAAACAGCAATTGGAACCAGCCAGTGTTCGCGTTGATCAAAGTCTCAACATTCAAGGTGCCTGCACGGAGGAATTTGATAACGAGCAGGGGCGCTTTTTCTGCTGGGCAACGCGAACAGCCGGCGCGAGAAAAGGTGCACTGGCCACAACAACCGCACAAAGGGCGACAGCCGTTATCATACGGTACCTGCTGCTTGTGTTTAGTATGTCTGGTGGCGCTTCAATCACCAACACCTGCTGTGCTCGTGGCGCACAGGAAATCAGGATCTTCGCGGGTGAGGTGAGGGGTGACTGTTCGCGCCGTCGTGGCGACGACGCAGGTGCGAGTTGTCCCGCTGGATCTTTCTACTCCACGCAATTTGATATAAGGATACCAAAGGCTTTGGCACGGCAATCCTCAAGAGATATTGTTCTCGTTGAAGCTCCCGCGCGCAACAATCGCCCAGCTCGGAACATTGACTGACCACTCTCGACGCGTTGTTGAGCTCGGGGGCTTCGTGCGCTCCCCCACACACCATCTTGACATTGCCGCATTTGACAAGAGGAGTTTGACACGACCTACCGCGTCCCTGCTGACACTATGGCGGGGCTGTCACAACAGCCCGAGGTGCCTCACTGCAGCCCACGATCGTGCACGATAGATAGCCCAGATAGCTTTGTTAGCTACAGCACATCAATTGCAGGCAGCTGCGGCTCTCAGAGTAGCCAGATCAGCTCCGGCCTCCGCGGCGACCTCAGCGGGCCGCTGGCGCCCATCGCGGGAGCAGGAGGGACGGGCAGCTTGTCAAGCCTGCTAGGCAGTGACGTTTCAAGAAAGTCGCTTGTACGCGATGGGCGTCTGGGGGGCGGCAAGGCATCAGTGGCGGCAGCGGCGCGCCAGCTCTTCCCGGTGGATCGGCCCGCGCTCGAGGCATGGCTTACACAGGCGGAGCGCCTGCAGGTGTGCAAGGCTGTTGGACGCGTACAGCAACATTTCAGCTGATCCAGGGGGATGTCAGAGGCCATGTGGCAGCCAAAGCTGCTTGGCGCACATGGCACAGCGCCGCCGTCATATACACCGCATGTTTGACCAACGGCCTGAAGCGCTGCCTGAGCGCTCCTGCCAGCCGGCCAGCCTGAAAATGCCTCGTATTCACGAACTCCTCACATGATGACGCCTATCCGCCTTGCTCGGCCTCGATCCTGGCCCGTTGCGCGCAGGGCCGCCCCTGAGCCCCCCAGGACCTGAGACCCCTCGGCGCCGCAGCGCCACGCGCCCCTTGGATTCCAGCGCTCAACGCGGCGGCGCATGAGAAACCCGCACACTACGCCCAGTGGCCAACGCCGCATATTAAGGAGACGGTCTAGCAGCAAACCCCCTGCGACGGGGGCCGCTTCGCCGCGCTGCCCGCCGCTTCTTCGGGCCTTCCTGGTCTTGGACCTCTGGCCTATTATTTGTCAAAGCACTGAACCCGTGGAGTCCTGCCTTTGGTGCGCTCAACGCCCTCTGTACAGTGTCTGCCAATGCGCGCACTCCACTTCCAAATTGCTTCCGAGCGCTCCAGGACTGGCCCCGCAGGGTCGCTCGCGAGTGCCGCGCCGGGACGCTGCGCGCCGCGCGCCGCCCCTGGGAGGGGCCGCGCCACGCCCGCGCCCGGCGCGCGCCAAACGCGCAGCCAACCACAGGGCGACTATCGACCCAGGCTGCGCGCCCTGCGGGCGCCTGTATATTATTTGACGCGCTGCCTCGCCTGGCGTAGCCCGGGGAGCGCACCCGTTTTTGCAAGAGCGCAGCACGCGCATCAAGTTGTGCCGTGGCTGCCCCACCGCCTGCGATTAAACTTGTGGCCTTGCGCCACCCTTATCATGTGCTTGGGGCCCTAGGCCCCCACGGATTTGCAAGCACGGCCGCGGCACGCGGCTGCTCCGCTGCGCGGCTTGCTTCTGCTCGGCAACGCCGCTGCTCCGCTGGTTGGTGGGTGTGTTGGGTTCACCACAGCGATTCTCCGCATACCCCTCCACGCGGCGCGCCGCTCTCACAGGGAGTGCTTCCTTCCGCCACTCACCCGCGGGACTGCGGCGGCCGGCCCCGGCTGGGCGCCGCGCCAACCCCTGCGGGCCCCGGGGCCGGGCCGGTTCCCCCTCCTCCAATCTGGCTGTGCGGCTGCACTGTGCTCTCTGGGGCAACAAGCCCACTCGACCATGACCGCCAGGTGTCGCCGTGACCTGTTGCTTCGCAAACCCTTTGGAAAGCCTCTCTCGCGCTGCGGCGGCGCCCGGCGCCGGCCGGTGCGCCCGGCTCGCTTCGCCAACCCTTTGGAGACGCCCTGACGCGGGGATGCTTACGCAAGCCCAACCACGCTCATACGCGCATCCGTGTGTGCCGCGCGCCCCGTTTGAGTCACGTGACAGGTGGGCCCTGAGCTTTGGGGCACCGGCCCTGGCTCACCCCCCACCGGCAGGAGTACTGACTGACCCCGAACCATACGCCCGCTCTTGTCCCCGGCTGTTTTGTTTGCTGCTCATCCCACTTGCCACCGCCGCGCGCGCGACCGGAAGGCTTCACGGCAGCGCGGCCCAGCGCCACCCCCTGGGACGGCTGCCTGGCAGCGCCCAGCCTGCAGCCATCTTCGCCCGCGCGGCGTGCATCCGGCGGGGGCCGCGGCTTGACGCGTGCTTGTTTCCAGCGCACGCCGTCGGTTGACCCCTTGCCACATGGTCTGGGCCGGGGCAGATCCAAACCACTGCCCGGCCCAACGGGGGCCGCACCGCCGTGACAGCGGTGGGAGCCCCCCTATTCGGTGGTCCAGCGCGCCAGAGAGGCTGAATGGGCGAGCCCCTGTTCGTGGGTCATCGACCGCATTATATCTGAACCCCTATGCAAGAGGGAGGGCGGCTGAATTTCCAAACTCGCACCACCCTGCG